TAAATTCTTATTATCTTTGCCCTTCTCGTTTGGGAAACCTTAATTTTCTTATCTGGATGTGCAGCAGCCTGGATATGGTGATGCGGGAGGCATGTATGCACTTCAAGCATCTGGAGCAGGACCAGGTGCTGGAGTTTTCTATCATAATTGATATATAATATCAGATCATGTATTTATGCTTTTTTTTCTTTCAGGAAAACCATATACTTACATTTTCTTTCTTCTTTTTCTTTGGTTTCAGTTGGTTTTCCACAGGTGTGCATTGTTCCTGTCAAACTATGGTTGAGATGATAGAAGAATATAAGCTACTATTAGATCATTCATTGAGTATCAGGAATTATTCCTTTTGGAATAATATATTAATCATACACTATATTGATTGGACTTTCCACAAGATCCTTTGATGAATATGGTTGATCACATCAGGGAATTCTTAAATTAATTTAAGATCTAGAAATTTGTCTACAGAATTGGGTGTTATTGTTGATGTTCATAATGTGTCTTTTTTACTTGACTTTTAGATGGCCAATGCGGCTGCTGTTGCTGCTGCATTTGGAGGAGGTTTGCCACCTGGTGTTAGCGGGACTAACGACAGGTGTACAGTCCTCGTGTCCAATCTGAATCCTGATGTGAGTAATAATTTTTTATTCTTTGTTAAACTCTTTCTCAAGTTTATATTTTCATGTTTGACGCCACCGTTAATTTCTTTTACAGAGAATAGATGAAGACAAGCTTTTTAACCTTTTCTCCATATACGGTAACATTGCAAGAATTAAGCTTCTCCGGAATAAACCTGATCATGCACTCGTTCAGATGGGAGATGGGTTCCAGGCAGAATTAGCTGTGCACTTTTTGAAGGTTCGGTGTTATTACACTTCTCTCATGCATTGGGGTTTATTTTCTAAAGATTTATTTTTTATCTTTTATAACGGAGTTGTGACAATGTTTAACTCGTTATATACACGAGGCCTTTAGCTTAAGTTGCAAGCCAAAAGCAGAAATATTGAGGAAGAAGTTACATAATAGGAATTTGAACATGTGATCACCTATTTTGGTATCTCCTATATGAGATCCCACATCGGTTAAAGAGGAGAACGAAACATTCTTTGTAAGTGTCTAGAAATCTCTCCCTAGTAGAAGCTTTTTAAAAACCTCGAGGGGAAGCACGGAAGAGAGCCCAAAAAAGACAATATCTGCTAGCAGTGGGCTTGAGCCTTTACAAATGGTATTAGAGTCAGACACTAGGTGATGTGGTAGCGAGGAGGCTGAGCCCTGAAGGGGGGGAGAACACGAGGCGGTGTGCTAGTAAGGTCGCTGGGCTCTGAAGGGGGTGGATTGTGAGATCCCACATTGGTCAGGGAGGAGAACGAACCTTTCTTTATAAGGGCGTGGAAACCTCTCCCTAGTAGACACGTTTTGAAAACCTTGAGGGGAAGCCCGAAGAGGACAATATCTGCTAGCGGTGGGATTGAGGTGTTATATCCTATCCAAAGAGATTCACCTATTTTGGTATCGAGATAAGTTCCAATGAGACCCAAAAGCCTAAAACATGCCAAATATATTGGTATAGTGGTTTATGCAGTTTTTCTATTGAAGTCTATAGAAGCTTTAGTTTTGTTAAAGGGCTTTTGGTTTCTTTGGTGACAAATGCCTAACAGTATTTCACATTTTTGTATAGGGAGCAATGTTGTTTGGCAAAAGATTGGAGGTCAACTTCTCAAAGCATCCTAACATTACACAAGGGGCTGACACTCATGAATATGCTAACTCAAATCTTAATCGTTTTAACCGAAATGCTGCAAAGAACTACCGCTACTGCTGCTCCCCGACAAAGATGATTCACATTTCATCGTTATCCCAGGAAGTGACTGAAGAAGAAATAGTGAATCTCCTCGAGGAGCACGGGCCGATCATCAACACCAAGCTCTTTGAGATGAACGGGAAGAAACAGGCACTCATCATGTTTGACACTGAAGAGCAGGCCACTGAAGCTCTTGTTTGCAAGCACGCTAGTTCGCTTAGTGGGTCGATCATTCGCATTTCGTTTTCCCAGCTGCAGAGTATATGAGTTAACAACGGCATTAAACGCGTAAGTGATGAATTCTTAATGCTTAATTGGTGTTGAGGATTTTAAAAATGGAGATGATATGGCGCATACTGTCTTATTTCTTGTAACAGTTAACTTTGTCTTTGGACTTTTGGTGGGATTGTACTTCTGCTTTGTTGTTGACTCAATACTTCTTCTCTTCTCTTCTTTCTCTTGTGCTAACCGAAATTATTGTCGAGACGACTTCACGACGGAGTTGAATTTCGTTTTATCTTATCAGTTTTGAAGAACAGGAAGAAAAAGGGGAAGCTAACCTGCCTTTTCTGAGTTGAGGATCTCTTTGTTAGGAGGTATGTATATGATGTGTTGTAATTTCTGGCAAATCAGGCCATTGGCTGTTGTAATTTTAGTTCATAGTACTCTTCATCTCTTCTGCCTAATTTATTGTTGAACACTTTATCTTTCACATAGTTTTATCCATTCCTTTCTCCTTACCTTAGCCTTCACAGATAAAGAAATAGCTGTTAAATGATATCTCCCTCTCTCTCTCTCTCTCTCTCTCTCTCCCTCCCTACCTCTTTATCCTCTTTCACTATCTCCCACCTTCGTACTCCCTCTCTATCCTACTTTCCCTTTGTAGCTCTCTTTCTTCCTGTATTTGATATGAATATGTTAGGTATAAGTCGTTACACCCATGCATACAGTAGCTATGAGCTGTTGTAGGCTACAGTCGTTATGAGCTGTTGTAGGTGTTGTTGCATGAGTATACTAACAAGAGAGGAACTACGAGTAGCTACTCTGCTACTTTAAGATATTGCATATAAGTATCAAGAGAGAGAGAGAGACTGGTTCCTATAGACTATTGACTCTTGAACGGTCGAGAATGTTGTACCAAAAGGTCACTTTACTACTTTAAGATATTGTGTATAAATATCAAGAGGGAGGTAGTCGGGTTCCTATAGGCTTTTGACTCTTGAGCGGCCGAGAATGTTATGTCGAAAGGACCCGTGATGGAGAAGTTGAACTATTTAGCCTTCGAGTTTAGCTCTTTTAACTTTGAGGCGTTGGAAAGGAAAAATGGTTGTATTGTGTAGTCAGTCGGTATCCATGATTGGTTCAATACCTCTTTGGAGGAACTTTTCAAAGGCTTGAAATGTAGTCCACACAGTACAGATGAACAGTGCATTTTCTTAAAGGGAAATGAGGTTTCCATCTCAATTTAAGAACTAAATGTAAGTTTGGATGACATAATTTTGATAAAATATTTCATATTAATAATTTTGAAAAAGCTATTAAAAATTTAATATATCGCAAGTAAATTTGGTTATTTGGTTTATTTAGTCACGAACAATGGTGGGAGTGAAAGTTTTCAATATCGGACCTCGTAATTTCAGATATATTTCTTCGTTAGTTGAGTTATTTGACAACATCATGAATTGAGATTATTATACAATAAATTATATTGGTAATGAAATTATGTCATAAACCAACATCATAATTATTTGATTATGAAAGGAGCAGGTTAGGTGTTTTATACTAACAACACTATTGATACGACGAGTTTTTGATAGTTACAAACAGATTGGTCTAAACCATCAATTTGGAGGTACCATACATAATGAGTTTGTATAAAATTATATTACAAAATATGTAATATTTCTATATGAACCCATCAACTGTAAAATTATATTACAAAATATGTAATATTTCTATATGAACCTGTCAACGGTCAACGGAGAAGATATATATTTGACTAGACAATTATATGCAATTTGATCTTAGTTTGTTAATGAGTCTTAGGTTTTGATCTTTAAAATTGCTATAATGGGTTAAGTACTCGTGATACTAAATAGCATTTTTCATTGGCTACTTTTCGATGTGATGATGGGTAGCTTGTGATTTTTTTTGTTGGGCATGTATACGTATCCAATCCCAATACGAGGTTATTTACTTAATATCTTTTTTAAATATTCAACTTTTTCAAAATGTTTTTAGGTAAAGGTAAGGGCAATACGTCGTAACGAGAAGTGCTGCTGACTTAAAAGTTTTATTGTTATGTAAATTCCAGTTTATGGAAGATAGGTAATGTGATAATTTTATGGAATTATTCATTATCTATTGAAGTGAAGATATGGGTCATTTGCAGATGTCATAAACTACACTGACATGAACACTTTCTAGCGAATGTTGAATGTCTCAATTATGCTTATCCAGGATGTATTGTCCATATCACATGCTTGTTCCAAACCCTTTTTACTTCATTTCATGTAAGATCATGTCTACACTCGCCGGGGTTAAAATCCCCCCGAACGAATTATAGGGAATGTGACTAATTGTCAATTCTTCCTACCCAAGTTATATGCTAACAAAGCCGTGGTTGTTATTTATTCGCTTTTATTTATAACATTACTTTCTCTAAAATTATTTTTTAAAGCATTTCTCGCAAACGTGATCCAAGGTTCGAGCATACGCTAATACTATCCACGAAATCCGGATCTCACATGGCTGACTTGTTCGCTAGATTAGAACAAGTACTGCACAATCACTGTTCCGTTGCCATTGCGAGTAAATGGCTTTTTTCCAACTATTGATTTGATATTTGAATTCACCCATCGAAACAAAATTAAAATGCATAATAATCCAAAGAAATTATTCTAATTTTCATGTCACAACTTTGTAACTATCTCTACTTCATGCATACCATACCATGGTCCGAATAGGAGGAGCTCGTCCACTCTTTCATCTGCGGGTGCTACTTTTCGATAAGAACGAGAGCATTAAGTCCGCCCTTGTTTCTATAGCGTTACCTCTCTAAGAAGAATGAAAATATGAGCACCACAGTTTTATTTTTTCTTTTCTTCTTTGGAGTTTACCGAACTATCAACACAATTATTTGGCATTGACCAAAGATGAAAGAAATCAAGAAGCCCTCCATCTATGAAAGGTGAGAATATGAAAGCCAATGACTCTATTCTTTGTGTAATTTATTTAGGCATCAAATGAACAGCAAAGAACTGACAAGATTGGATGTTTTCTGTTCCGTATACAGTAGATTAGACTGATTTATTGAATTTACATACCGAGTTTCGAAGATCCTCTAACGTAAGAAGTTAAGTTATGTGCAGAGTTACAAGTTAAGATTAAGATTAGTCAGTAAATGCTATAAATCATACCGTGTAAGCTTTCAAATGGAAGCCATTCTATTCAACGGGATCATATTATTTTGACGTGGAATCCTTTGTCTTTCAACAGGAGATATCACCTGTGGCATTGTCATTCCTACTGAAACAATGATTTCTGCATTATGCAAATAAAGGCCTCATTATAACAAAATGGAGAGAGCTGTGCATTGAAGATGCAGATATAACCCAATAAAGATCTCAAGAACATAATGGAGCATGCATCGAATTGAACATCATTCAATTCCTTCAGTTTTAGTGGAACTAATATAATCTTGAGCACGCTCATGACTGAACTACCATTATATTTTTCTCCCATCCTAAATGCCGATCCTTCCCGGATAATTCACGAGAAATAGTCTCTACTGGCATTACCCTTTAGCATCTAGTTATGAACAAAAGATACGGTGGAGATAGGACAGTTATTGTATGAGGTCTACCCAATGCTAGATGCAGAAGCGCATAATAGATCGATATGAACATCATGAGCTATCCTGTAATAAAACCTGTTGTTGCTAATACTTTCTTCTTGGTTCCTTCTTCCATAACCCGAGCTCGGAGAAGGAAGAGATAAGAGGACCCTATGGAGAATATGGTCAGAAATCTATAATAGAGTCCGACCACAACGACCGAATTGATAAGTTCTCATCCAATTAACTATTTTACTTTTAGCTTTTTTGATTTTGAAAAGTAAGTAAACCTACCCAACCACTCATATGTTCTTATAGTTTGTTCTCTAGTTTCTAAAAGTGTTTTCAAACCTATTTAAAAATTTTGAAAATTAAAAAGGTAAGCTTCATTTGGTAAACTTCTGGTTTTTGAAATTATATTTGTTTTCTCCCAAGTTCTTTACTGTGGTCCATCTTTTTTTAAGAAAACATTTGAATATGGGGACGAGAAAATGGGCAACCGAAGGAGAATGGGAGGGCTGAACATTTTGGGGCTGAGAAGCTTCTTCTATAATAACCAAAGTCCACCACTAGTAGATATTTCTTCTTTGAGCTTTCCTTTCCGAGCTTCCTCTCAAGGTTTTAAAACGCATATGCTAGGGAGAGGTTTCCACACCCTTTAAAGGATGCTTTGTTTCCCTCTCAAACCGATGTGGATCTCACAATCCACCCCCCTTCAAGGCCCAACGTCCTCATTGGCACACCATCCGGTGTAATTGTGAGGTCCCACATTGATTAGAGAGAGGAACGAGTGTCAGCAAGGACGTTGGGCCCCAAAGGGAGAGAATTGTGAGATCCATATTAGTTGAAGAGGGGAACAAAACATTCTATAAAAGGTGTGGAAACCTCACCCTAGCAGACGCATTTTAAAACCTTAAGGGTAAACTCGAAAGAGAAAGTCCAAAGAAGACAATATCTGCTAGTAGTGAACTTGAACTATTACATATTCCGCCGCTACAATTTGGGTGAATGGAATAAGATCAATGGAATAAGGTCAAGTAAATAATTCGTCATCTCAATAGATCCTCCTCCATTCTAATTCCAGAGGAGGAGGTTGAAGTAATCATGAGTTCTAAAATCAAGAACAAATAAAAAGTCCTAATTATTCGCTCTAAACCACATGTAAATAAAGCCATCAACCTGAGAAAGAACATCTTATTGAATTTTATCAAAAGAAAACACTGACCTATGGCTTCTCGGATCGATAAATTTGGTCGTATGATATCTTCAGAATTAATAAGAAAAACGTCACCGATATATAGATGATTCGTGGGAACATAAACACTGCATAACTCTTCATATCCATTCATCTGCGTTATCATTCAAAATTTACTTAAGGCATAACCAAGTCAATACATCTAAGTTACAATCACAGGACTGCAACACCTATGATGAACTGGAAGAACCATTATGAAATTAACCGATTGGACAGACAAAATACCTGAAGGACAACGGATGAGGTAATAAAACCAATTGCATATTCACCAATTCTAGGATGCCGTATAATGGCTACTTCCTTGAATGCTGTGGTACTTTGGTCTGTGCAAAAGGAATAAAAGATAGAACGAGATCCGTTAACTAGTTATACCTCATAATGCTGTCATTTTTACCCAAACAATTAGAAAAAAGCAATCACCAAGACAAAAAATTTACATTTATACTAGATTTTGACAACGATATTAATGTACCGAGGCCTTGCAATAGCAAGAAAACATGCAATAGCTCAAGCCCACCGCTAGCAGATATTGCTTTCTTTGGGTTTTCCCTCAAAGTTTTAAAAATGCGTATGCTAGGGGGGAGATTTCCAGACCCTTATAAAGAATGCTTCGTTCTCCTCCCCAACCGATGTGGGATCTCACAATCCACCATTCTTTGAGGTCCAGCATCCTCGCTGGCACTCGTTTCTTTCTCCAATCGATGTGAGATCTCACAATCCACCCACCTTGGAGCCCAACGTCCTCGTTGGCACCCGTTTCTTTCTCTAATCGAGGTGGGATCTCACCAAACATGAAGTAGCTTCTAAAAGAAAATGATACCGATAAGAATTAACCAATCGAATAGGTAACCATAATCACATAACCCTACTATATTTGGTTTCCGAGGTAACTCGTAGGATGGTGACCACAATGGCTTGACAAACTCATTCCATCTACTTACTATTGACCAAATTTCAACCAAATTACCATAAAATATAAATCTGGAAGATTACATGTAACAACCCAAGCCCGCTGCTAGCAAATATTTTTTTTTTTTTGGGCTTTCCCTTCCAGGCTTACCCTCAAAGTTTTTAAAACGCGTTTGCTAGGGAGAGGTTTCCACACCCTTATAAAGAATGCTTTGTTCCCCTCTCGTAGGCACATCGCCCAGTGTCTGGCTCTGATACCATTTGAAACAACCTAAGTCTATCGCTCGCAGATATTGTCCTCTTTGGGCTTACCCTTATGGGCTTCCCCTCAAGACTTGTAAAACGTGTCTGCTAGGGAGAGGTTTCTATACCCTTATAAAGAATGCTTCATTCATCTCTCCAACCGATGCGGGATCTCCATTAGAATTCAGGACCTCCCAGGATATTATCAAGTTAAATCACCATCAAAGTAAAAAGATGAAACTTTTAAACTAATATAAACCATCCTATTGAGTATACATACATCAGAAGAAATTTCATCATATGTAACAATATTAGGATGAAAAAAATTGATGAAGATTAATTGAACATGAACTAACAACACTATAGATCCCCCATTTATCAGTAACTTAAAACAAGATTAACGCACTTAATATCAATCTATAAAATAGGAAAACAAGAGATTCAAAGATACATCAACAAACGAAAGCACATGAGGTACCTGGAGAAATGGCTGCACTAATTTGTTTGGAAGCTGAATAAATGTGCTTTACAAAGGGCATCTTTTTTATGAACCATTCTCCTAGCCAAAAAACAGTGGAACCCGTCCACGACGAAGCAAATAAACCAACAAAAAGTATAAATATCAACGACGAAACAAATCCAAGACCTGCAACAAAAATCATTTATGAAATATGCATATATCATAATCGTAAGAAAATGAAGAAGTTAGTGATCTACAAATGAAAAGAAGGTGTAACGGCCCGAACCCACTTCTAGCAGATATTGTCCTTTTTGGGCTTTCCCTTTCGGGCTTCCCCTCAAGGTTTTTAAAACTCGTCTGCTAGGGAAAGGTTTCCACACCCTTATAAAAAGTGTTTCGTTCTCCTCACCAACCGATGTGGGATCTCACAATCCACCCCCTTTGGGGCCAGCGTCCTCGCTGACACTCATTCCTTTCTCCAATAGATGTGGGACACCCCAATCCACTTCGGGGCCTAGCCTCCTTGTTGGCACATCGCCTGATATCTGGCTCTGATACCATTTGTAACAGCTCAATCCCACCGTCAGCAGATATTGTCTTCTTTGGGCTTTCCCTTACGGGCTTCCCCTCAAGGTTTTCAAAACGTGTCTGCTAGGGAAAGCTTTCCGCTTTCCACACCTTTATAAAGGGTGTTTCGTTCTCCTCCCCAACTGATGTGGGATCTCACATAATGGATAAATCTAAAGCTATATCTTCTATTGAAAATAAAATGACGAGAATGGAATGGAACGGAACAGAGAGTCAGTAAACGTACGAAGTCCATAAAAATATTTTCCAAAGCATCGGAACTTAACCAAGAACAATGAATCTGGATCATAAGAGTCATACCAAATATGTTTATTCCAAGTCTGGCATATAACGGGCTAAAGAAGCTATCGACAAATGTGATAAACCACCATGTGGTGAAGAATGTAATGGCAACAGGAAACAGAACCACACTGCAATTCCATCATTTATCAAAATCTAGTATAGTTGGAATGGAAGACGTAGAAATTGATCTAAACAATAGCAGATAAACAGTACCATCCAGTCATGAACTTCTTTGAGACCCAACTCTGGAGAACAGCATAGCAAGCCTGAAAAAAGACCCAATAACTGACATGGTTGAAATACCAATTTCTTTTTAAGGATACTCATAATCCATAAAATAGTTTATTTAGCTGGAAAACATGAAATGCTGGGTGGATTATGAGATAACCCTCCCAGTACTCTCTAGCACCAAGAAATGGCCAAAAAACAGAGGCCAGTTTTGCGTTTCACCTTTCCTAAGCTGACTTCTGTCACTAGGGTTGTAACTTCAAATACACCACATTGTTTCAGAGTTTGAAAGAGGCTTGGATGTTGAAGCCACATATTCTCAAATTAAAACAAGCAACAGCCCCATTTCAAAAGAAAATTTTCAAGATTCCGCAAAATTATTGTAACAGCCTAAGCTTAAGCCTAAGCCCACCACTAGTAGATATTGTCCTCTTTTGGGTTTTTTTTTTCGGGCTTCCCCTCAAGGTTTTTAAAACGCATCTGCTAGGGAGAAGATTTTCACACCCTTATAAAGAATACTTCGTTCTCCTCTCCAACTGACGTGGGATCTCACAACAACCCCCCCCAGGTCCATCGACCCTGGCACTTGTTTCCCCCAATCAATGTGGGCTAGCGTCCTTGCTGGCATACTGCCTTGTTTCCACCCCCTTTAGGACTTAGCTTCCTCGCTGGCACATCGCCCCGTGTCTGGCTTTGTACGCCTTGCAGCTTCATCTAAGTGGGTTTGGGCTAGGTCGTTAAGCCATTTGTAATGGCTCAAGCCCACCGCTAGCAGATATTGTCCTCTTTGGGCTTTCCCTTTCGGGCTTCCCCTCAAGGTTTTTAAAACATGTCTACTAGGGAGAGATTTCCACACCCTTATAAAGAGTGCTTCCTTCTCCTCTCCAACCGACGTGGAATCTCACAATTCTGGTCACAATTGACCTTTGGAATACATTGAAGATACGTAATATATCAGTAAAGGAATGCACTGCCAAGTTTCTTACACGAGGCTATGAGAAACACCAATTCATAAGGGATATTTCAATGAGAGGGGCATGATCAATAAATTCACTGAAAGCTTCATAGAAGAAACTTTCACCAGATTTTCAAGAAAAGAGGGATTAGGAAAACCTTCAAAAGCGATTTTAAGTTCACCATTTTCTTCCAAACTTTTCTATAGCATATGACTCATATATCAGTAAACAGCTTCCCTTTTCTGTAGTATTTAAACAAGTAAAATATTGCTCCTGAAGATATAATCACGCGGAGAAGAGAATCCACCCTAAGTACCCATCGCCAATCACAGACTAATTCCTCTTCCTTCTCTATTAATCCTTCAACTAAAAGTACAATTTCAGCTAGAATGAAACCTAGAATAGCTTCGATAAAGAAGAAACACACAGAATCGATATAATCAACAGAAAAAGATTCGCTAGATGATAAAAGACGAGTAAAACCTCTAAAAAACGGAGTGGAATACCTTGCGAGTGGATGAATTGGGAGAAGTTGGAGGGGACTTCGGAGTATCATCGTCGGGATCAGATTCGATCATCGGAACGGAAGTGGATTCTCTATTATCTACCATTGAAGGAAGACTAAGGTCGAAACTCCTGCTTTTCTCCCGATGCTCGTTTCGTTGAATTTTTTCTCTTTGAATTTGAGAATTGAGTCTTTGGCTGTTTGCGTCGATAACTGCTCAGTGCGGCATTTATATATATATATATATTATTTATTATTATTATTATTATTATTTTTTTTTATGTTTTTAAATTTTCTAGTATAAGTATAGTATGCCTCGTTCGCTACTCTACTAGTGGCTCAGTTTCGCCCTAGCTGACGACTTCCTACATGGCTCACACAAACTTAAGGCATCGATTATCTCGAGACGTTGTCTCCCGTGACCAAACTCAAAAAAATTCCATACGAGTCATTCTTTCAGTTGCAGCTAACGGTATCCCACACCTAAACTGAATTCTTTCTGATCCCTGTCCATTAGAGGCAGAGAAACCAACATGCATTCAATCTTTTAATTACTTGAAGAGGTAAATTGGGGACGAAGAGGACTTGGAGGCCTAATCGGCGAGTACCCGATTCACACCCGGATCATTTTCATTGCATCTCTGTACTCAATCCTCTCCGTTCTAGTTAAATCACTTCCATCCGTGACTCCCGAGAAAGGGTAGAAGAATGGGACCTATTATGGAAGATACAATGCATCGCTCATGACTGGTATATGGATCTCTTTATTTATGTAGTGGTTGGTCGAATAGAAGTTTGGCCAGAAGCGACTAGTCACTTCCTTCACGTATCAACTTTTATCTTAGGACGACTTGCAGGTTCGTTGAGTACAGCTCATTTATTAAACGAGGTAAAGCTATTTTCGAGACCTTTACCGGAGAGAAAATGAATAGTGTTTATAATCATTTACAAAACAGAGAATTACAGTAAATTAACAATGATAAGGAAAAACAATAAATGAAAAAAATAATAAATGGTTCGCTATAATAAAAGGGCAAATATGACAGTAAAGGAAAGCAAATATCTAGATATTTGTCTATAATAAACGATTAAACATGATACATATGGTAAACCATAATTCAAGGTTAAATATTCTTAACACCCCCCGTAAGCTGAGCGTCGGATTTGAATGAACGTGAAGTTTGGATATGAAAAATTAAAAGAGAGATCGAGAGACACTTTTTGTGAAGATGTCAGCAACTTGGAGATGGGAAGATACATAATGTGTGCGAAGTTTGCCAACGATAACAAGTTTCCGAAGGAAATGATAATCTAGTTCAACATGTTTGGCCCGCTTGTGAGAAACATGATTAGTGCTAAAAAAAATAGCACTTTTGTTGTTACATAAGAGTAAGGACTGCTGTGAAATAGGGACCTTGAGGTCATGCAAGAGATGCGTAACCCAAAGAAGTTCAGTAGCAGCCGTAGCAAGAGCACGATACTTAGATTCATAGCTGGAGCGTGAGACAATGTAGAACGACGAGTATCGGGACAACAAGCCCAATTAACATTCGAATAAGCCACTAGCGCACTAAGAATAGTGGATGGACGAAATGTAAGACCAAAGTGGAGTGTTCTCTCGACATAGCAAAGAATACTGAGTAATAACCCAAAAAAAAATATAAATAAACAAATAAAAATAATTATAAAAAAAGATTACGTTAAAAAAAAAAGAAAAATAATAAATAATAAATAATAATAATAATAATAAAAAACAACCCTTCTCAGTCTCTCTCGACTAACTTCTCATCCCTTTCCCCAATTCTCTCTCCTCAACATGTTATCTGAGAATACCAAGTTCCTAGAAAAAGAAACAAAAAAACAATAAGAACGTCAGATTTGAGAAAAACTAATGGCCTTAACCGTTTTAAAGACAGATTTAGAGGTCGACTCAAATTTATACGAAGAGATATTAGTTAAGGTATATATTAAATTGTTCATTTTTAGAAAATCACACCTAATTATACCTGAGATCTTTGACGGTTGCAATTGTTTAGGTTTGAGTTAGAAATTAGATATCAATAATTTTATAGAAATTTAAATTAAATCTACATGGAAAGATTAAAAATATGTTAAATATTTAACAAAATTTAAGAATTAGAATTACTAAAGGAATTCGGTGAACATCTTTAATAGTGTGAAGCTCTTTGACATAAGTGAGAACGAATTTGAGAGACAAAAGCAAGCTAATTTGGAGTTAGATAGAACTTTAGCTAAGGCCATCCAAGTAAGTAGCTTTACTATCGGCATGATTATATTTGATGTAGACACGTGTCCAGTGGTTCTGCACGTGTCATATATATTGATATGTATGAATTGTTTATGGATCGATATGCTTATGATATGATATGTATATGTTATAATATGTGAATTGTATGATAATACTTATGGTATGGTGTGTTCAATGATATGTTTGAGATAGGATACGTGAAGGATGCACTAACCGTAATGTAACAATAGAAGTAAGATATGTTCATGAAACGTTAAGGTTAGGTTATATATCGAAGTGCTATGGATATGAGAGATTGATAAAAACGATATGGTCACAATCGATTGATAAAAGAATACAATTAGTATAGATAGAAATGAATAGGATTTTGATAAGATACGTTCATGTAACGATATGACTAAGGTACGTTCATGTAATGATATGACTATGATATGTATAAAAATGTTAAGGCTAAGTTAGGGACCACCAAGTGTTTACAATATGATATGATTATGATACGACATGTGAATGACAGAAATATATATATGATGTGAAATATGTTATGGTACGAGATATGTGATAAATTGACATGTTTATGATATGATATATTGCGATGTGATATGTTATCGTATGATATGTATATGATGAAAATTGTTATGTTTGGAAGCATGACATGTTATGATATGATATATTTATGTAATTTGAATGAAATGATATGATTGACATGCAAAACGACAAACTAGCATAAAATAAAATCCGACGTATGCATGAACGATATGATAAATGATATGTGAAGTGATATGAAAAAAGATATGATATATACGGAACGTTAGCGGGGTTGTATTAAACAATAATGAATACGAAAAAATATTGGAACCTCGTACATTATTGTGTGCTCATGCATTGGGGGATACCCCTATTCCATCAAGATGGTACAAACCCGTACACCAATAGACTAATATCATAGGTCCTGTCATTGTATTCGCATGTTCTTGAATTTAACTCTTAATAGTGGGATCACTTATTGAGTATTTCTTTAAATACTCAAGCCATGTGTTACTTCTATTTTAGGTTAAGATAAGACATTCCTGTACGACTAACGACAACATCGCAACTTGAGACCATGACGCATGCATAGGGTAGTCGTATTTATTTTTTTTAGACTTAGGCTAGAATATGATGTTTTTAAGTTAAACGTTTATTTATTTTATTCAGTCTTTTGTTGTGTCGTTTTAAACATGTTTTTTAGACCATGACCTTAGTTTTAAAGGAGGATCCACAATTTTGAGAACCGATCACTAATATATGAGTTGAGTGATTCATGCCTCCATGTGTTGGTTAGGCTCGAGCAAAACATCCTCATCTATGGCAAATTACGAAGGAGTGATCTTACTTTTAAAAAAGAAATTGGCCCCTTGATTTTTCTTGTTATGTATGCATGCACGCACGCACGTACGTACGTATAAGTATCTTTAAATACTCGACCAATTTTTAAAATAACTTCCGGGTTAAAAGGCAAAGTCATGACATAGGAGTGCCAGCTGTCACAATCACACTTTTGCTTCAGCAGGACAACGATTGTGCGCACTTGTTCTAACCCAACGAACAAGTCAGCCATGTGAATTTTGGACTTCACGGACAATATTGGCGTATGCTCGAGTTTCAGGTCACATTTGAAGATAATTTAAATAAAACAATGTTATAAGCTAAAAGCAACTAGGCAACAAACATCAGCTTTGATAGCATATAACATGAACATGTGTAAGACATGATTTTGGTGATCAGTCATATACTCCCATATTGACACAACATGAAAGAATAGAACGATCGCTTTGTTGGGCATTGTCTAAGCCTTCAATGCTTTCTTCCGTTTGGGCAACAGAGCCTGTCGAGCTATCCCTACGCTTGAAGCCCCTTCAATGCTTTCTTCCGTTCGGACAACAGAGCCTGTCGAGCTATCCCTACGCTTGAAGCCACCAGTAGTTATAGCTTTGTCTTCTAGGGTCTTGACCCTAATCATTAATTCGTGGACAAACATTTCCTTGAGATAACTTGCCATCTCGTTGATCCTGTTGGCTTTAGCAACAATCTCATTCATGCGAGACTCCAAAAGCTTCATTCCATCACGAACTTCACTCTTGCAGAGTAATTGTTCTCTTACTATGGGAGAAGGCCTTTTTTTGTTTTTCTATTTTTTTTTTTTTTTGCTGAGGAGTTATGTAACGGCCCAAATCCACCGCTAGCAGATATTATCCTCTTTGGACTTACCCTTTCGGGCTTCCCCTTAAGGCTTTAAAAGGGGTCTGCTAGGGGAAGGTTTCTCACACCCTTATAAAAGGGTGTTTTGTTCTTCTCCCCAACCGACGTGGGACATCACAATCCACCCTCCTTCACGGCCCAGCGTCCTCGCTGGCACTCTTTTCTTCTTTCAATCGATGTGGGACCGCCACCAAATCCACCCCCCTTCGGGACCCAGCGTCCTTACTAGCACACCGCCTCGTGTCTACCCCCTTCGAGGAACAACGAGAAGGCTGACACATCGTCCGGTGTCCAACTCTGATACCATCTGAAACGGTCCAGATCCACCGCTAGCAAATATTGTCCTCTTTGGGCTTTCCTTAAGGCTTTAAAACGCATATGCTAGGGGAAGGTTTCCACACCCTTATAAATGGTGTTTTGTTCTCCTCCCCAACCAATATGGGACCATGTCTGCTAAGCGAAGGTCTCCACACCCTTATAAATGATGTTTTGTTCTCCTCCCCGGCCAATATGGGACATCATGTGTGGGAAGGTATCCACACCCTTATCAATGATGTTTTGTTCTCCTCCCCAACCAACATGGGACATCACAATCCACCCCCCTACAGGGCCCAACGTCCTCGCTGGCACTCTTTCCTTCTTCCAATCGATGTGGGACTGCCACCAAATCCACCCCCTTTGAAGCCCAG